GTGTGTGTGTGTGTGTGTGTGTGTGTGTGTGTGTGTGTGTGTGTACGAAAAAGAGACACAAACAAGTTGGAGTAGTGAGTCTGTGATGTTTCTGCATGCATCAGCATGTGCGTTTTGGTGCCAGAAAAAGACTGTTTTGGTTTATTAGAGCTGAATCCTCCTTTCTGTGACACATCCACATGCATCTGTCTCTATATGATGTTGACCCAAACACAAATAACCCACCACCGCCTCGACACTCCTGTGGCGTGTGTCCGCTCACTGTTTCTATGCAACACTTTGAGAGGCCCCTTCTGGTCTGGACAGCACCTCTCCTGCTCCTATCCGTAGTCTCTCACTCTTTCCTTCACCCTGGAGAGGGAGAGAAGAAGTGAAAAAAAGAGAGGGGGTGGGGGGGCAGTGGAAATAACAGGCTGCTGTCTCAAGAGGGGCTCTGAAAAAAATAGCAAGGGGTAAAAAAAAAAAGGAGGAAAAGAAATACAGGAGAAAAAGGTGTTTGCTAAAAGGTATTAGCCATAATACTGTACTGGGAATGTGACATGTGTAGCCTAAACCACAAGCAGGAGCACAATTTCTGTGACATTTCCCCCTGAAGTATAACAGGGGAAAAAACACAAAAACACACCAGCACGCAAGAAAAGATAGGACAGGTAAAACTAGAGTGTAGAGGCTCGAGAAGATACATGGTTACATAAGATATACTGATACACATGAAAACAATGGGCTTTTTAAAACATCTGCAGTGATAGAGAGTTAGGGGGGAAGAGATTTGGCGATGGAAAGATAGAAAGAGGTAGATGCGACTGATTGGGGCAGGTAGCGAGATGCGACGGAGGAAGTGCCGGAGATAGGGACAGGACAGGATAGGATAGGATAGGATAGAGAGAAAGTGATAGAGGAAAGAAAAAAAAACAACGGAACATTTTTTTAAAGTTTCGCAAAGGGAGACAGGGCAGAAGGGAGGGGAGGAGGAAAGGGAGAGAGAGGGCGAGAGAGAGAGCGAGAGAGAGAGAGGAGGGAGAGAGAGCGTGTGTCTGCGTGTGTGTGTTTTTATGAATGAAGTGAGTCACTGCCGATGTGTCATAGGCCCGACGTCTTTATAAAGGAAGTTTTAAACAAGCCTAAACACTTCACTGCGCGCAAAAATTGGACTTACCACACTCGCATCCCTCTCTCTGCATTTCTGTAGCCTCTCTCTCTGTCTCTCTCCAAACTGCCAAAGTGCTTCTCTGCCTTCAGCACTCTATAAAGACTGCAGGGGCTCCTCTCAAACTTTACTGAAAACAGAAAGTTTGACGATATTCGCATTTTTTTTTACCTTTAACTTTCTGACTTTGCCGTCTGAGTGCTCGCACTCATCCCTCTGCGCTCTCTCATTCAGTGTGTCCTGACAACTTTCCTCCTCACTCTGACAGAAGAGTGAGAAAGAAGAAACCGGAGCACGTGACAGTTTCCGGAGTTCAATTTATTTATTAATTTTCTATTTATTTATTTATTTGCCTCCGTTTTTCTGCTGGTTTGCCTATCTCTTGGATCCGAACCAATATGAAATGTAAGTGATTATATGACTGTGGGTTAAAAAAAAAATCTTATAAATGTTTAATGTGTCTCATTTTTAATCAGCTTTGTTCTAAAAAATTTTGTAAGTTTTTTTTTGTTGTTGTTAAAAAGTTGCTTTTTCCCCCCCACTGTGCACAGGTTAAATTATTTAGAGATCAGAAAATCTAAGCAACTGCTTCTTTATTGCTCGACTGAAGATTTGGGCAACTTAATTCTGTTAAAGTTGCTCTGGGACGGAGAGCTCAGATGCTTCTGCAGTGTTCTTTTGGCTGCGATTCTTGTGGTTCACCTGTAATTATCAAGCATTCATCATCTCAACACCACTGTGGTTCCCTTTTAATACTTAGTCTACCTTGTACTTGAACTTGAAAGGACAAGAATGAATGAGCTTACTGTTAGGAGAGTTGACTTGGCTTGACTTGGTCTATATAATTTATACCACCGGCTCACGTACCTATCGAGTTGCAGGTGTGACAATCAGCGGCATTCATTGCCTTGCTTATGGTAAAGATGAAATGGAGCTATTCTGTGTCAAAGCCTGGCATTTAATGTTTTAATGATTTGCATTCAGCCTGTGAAAACATGACTCTGAAGCTCTTCAGGATTCTTCTTGCCAAGTCTGGAGCTATTGTTTATATCATGGTGCAATATCTTCCCCTAAAGCTGACAGCCGTGCCCCGAGGCCATTATCATTATGGCGAGATGACAGCGCCTCTCCACTAATTGCTTCCGTTTTGTTCTACCCCTGCAGTGCTGCTCGACTCCTCCTCATCTCTCCTCTTCTCGCTGCTATTGGCTCAGCTGCCCGTGTTCACGTCTGCCTCTCCGGTGCCACAGCGGCGACCCAGTGACTTGGATAAACTGTCCAATCAGACCAAAAATCTAATGAAACTCACCACAGAACTGCTGGTAAGTGATGAAGCTGTCCTCAAGACCATTAGGTTTACCAATCAACCTCTGACAGGGGGAGTAGAGGCTGCGAGGCCCTGACCACCCCGTGCTAATTGAATTGGAAGACGATGCTGGTCATTACACCACAGACTGATCTTTTACTAATTGGATTTGGGTGCTAATGTTAGCTTTCGGTTTAGGTAACCTCACACATTAAACTGCACCCACTTTGCATCACGCACTATTGTGCAAACGCATACCAGGTTTGCTCGGGGCTTTAGTCCACCTTAAGCTGCTTTCACGAGTCCATCTGCATGCTTACACGGGGCAACAAACGTCTCGGGGGGGATTTGACTCAGTGATCTCACTTTTAATCCACACGGGAGAGGCGGTCTGACTCAGCAGCATGCCGGTGTGCCTGGTCACCTCCCCTGGTGGCGGTTGCATTAAGACTTGGTGGCAAAGAAGGTGCCAGTGGAGGTGCAGTGAAATTAAATCTACCTCCATCCAGCTACAAAAACAGCCAAGCACGCCGTCTGTGAAATGACAGCAGCATGTATTGCATGCTTGTTTACACAGAAACATGTTTATGGTCGGCGGTTGGTGAAGTGTTGAGCTTCTCTCCCCAATTAAATGCGACAAGTCTGGCCCGAAATCCTATTACGATGACAGTCGAGTTAGTAGGGAAATCAGATTTGAGAACTTAGACAAGATTTGGATCCGACAGGTGATTGTGTATCAACACTGTGTTTTAACAGGTGAAACGAAAACGGCATCATATCTCTGGATCTTTGGTTACACATGGCTGATATTGATTCTATTTTTGCATTATGCAAATCTTTAAACTCTTTTGTTCAGGAGGTAAAATTAGAAATAGCCACATACTCTCTCTAGTCTTGTCCAGCAGTGTTGAGAAAGTGTTTGTGTTTGTGCTTTGAAATAATGTTATAGTCATTGTGTAGTAGCATCACAATCTGAAATCCAGATGTGAGCACACCAGGATTATCAAAGGGCATCCGAAACAGTGTTAGACAGTGTTCACTAACACTGGGGATTTATTTTTAATCCCCCCCCCCCTTTTTGTGTGGAATTCCACTAAAAAGAGGACAAAGTTAGGAAAGATAAATAGAATGGGAATCCATGGAAAGTCCCTGCAAAAGAGCAATGAAACTGATGCTGTAAAGAGGGAGAAATGTGCGTATGTGTATAAACATAGTTCTATATGGGCCCAGGTTTTCCAGTGTGCCTGTGTATGAGTCTGTGCACACTTGCATACATACAAATGTGTATACGTGTGTGCATGCGTTTGTCTGTATGCATTTTTGTGGCCGTTTGTGTGTGCATTGAGGGCTCTGTAAATAGCCGTGGTAGTGTAGGTGCGGTGTTTAGTGTTTTGCTTTCGGTCGCCACAGCAAAGTGACTTGATAAAAATCAAAAAGATTTATCACATTCCAGTATTTGCATTCAGGAAGAAAAAGGTTGGATGCTAGGTTCTGTCGGGTGAGGTCATGGTCTGGGATGAAGAGAGCGAGAGAAACTGGGATAAGAGGCAGAATTAAAGGCTGAGAAAGATGGGGCAAAAACCACAAGAGATGAAGAGAGATCAGAGAAACAACTAGATGACAAGCCGGTGGTGTGTGTGTGTGTGTGTGTGTGCATGCATGCACATGTGCACGTCATGTTGCATGTGCCTGTGCACCTGGTATGAGACACAGGGAGAGGCGAGGGACGGGGGAAGTAAGGGACAGCAGGGGAGAAAACGGCAGCGGAGACAAAACATTGGACCACAGACATAAGTGAGCTCTTTTAAAGGGCTGATGGAGAGACAATACAGGACATTTATCTCCAAAAACATCAACAAAAACAAGTGGAAGCGAACAACAAGTAATGCAAGGAAAGCACAGAACAACAGGTTAAGGAAGCAATAAGCGCACTCAACTTGTTTATACAAAACATTTCTCAGCAATCATTATTCTAATGTTGTTATGTTCCTCTGCTGATTAGAAATGACGCATACCACTTCACTCATCTCTATTTGTCCCTATTCATTACTAAAATAGGCCTACGTCTTTAATACTAAATTGCACTACTGATGAGCTCAGCTGCCCTTCCAAAGCAGAATCCCATAAACCTGGCATTAGGTTGTTTATCCCCCTCTGCTGGTCAAAGTGGGCACTACACAGGCTGAGCTGGGCAGCGGCACTGCGTCATTCTTTCTTTTTATAGCTGTGACCCTGGAGTTTCCCCGCAGGCCTGTGTTGTCTGTCCCACTTGGAGCTTTCTTAGTCACTGCGTATGTTGTTATCCACACTCCCAGCAGAAAACATCCTGTGGGTTCAGCTCATTTGCTCTTATTGTTGACATTTGGGGAGGCTGAATGTGGGTGAACTCACACTGACCCGATCGACCACACTCCCCTCAGTGAGAGCTACTGTCTCTAAGTGCAGAAAACAGGCACCCAATCAAGATGCTAGACTAATACTTTCCTCATGCTGCCGTGACTTGTTTCAGGATGAGTAAAATTGCGCTGATGTAAATTGCTAAGGGGCTGCTCTGTGTCTTGTTTTCTCTTTCAGAAGGAGCATGCATTTGACTCAGAAGTGGAGCCCCACAGGTTCAAGTCTCTGCCAGAAATGAGCAACAGATCAGCCCATGACCTCAACAATCTTGAGGTAATGCTCTGATAATGTATTTGTGTGTGTGCATGTAGCGAGAAAGAGAGAGAGGGGGGGCGGGGAGCTGGCCTGTTTCGACACTCCCATGCTAAGTCTCTGAAGTATTTTTGCGTTGTTTCCAGCTGAAGCCCACACTCTCACAGCTTCATTCCGACCTGAAGCTGTACGAGCACCACTTTGAGTGGCTCAACAGAGTGTCGAAGAAGCACCACCACCCTGCAGTGCCCAAGCTGGTGGAGATGATCAGAGAGATGAAATCTCTCATCACTCTGCTGCACCGTCAGGTGAGGAGCTGAGTTTGTCTGTTCGATTCTCAGCGCGCGCCACCGCCGCTGTGATTGAGCTTTCTAATCCGTGTGTTTGCCCGTCTTCTCCTCCACAGATGCTGAGAGTTGAAGCACCAAGGCTCAGTCCGGCGACCCCCTCCCTCCCCCCTCACCTCCCCTATCAGTTTGATGTCCTGCAGTCCACCAATGAGCTTCTTCAACACTTCAAGCTCTTCTGTGACTGGGCGTACAGAGCCTTCCTCAGCCTTAAGCCCAAGGTCACTGCAGTCCAATGATGATACAGAAAGTAAAAGGGGGCTGCAGAGGCAGTGAGAATACATGGACTTCCGTCCCCATCAAAAGGGAAACAAGACCATGTCAGTGTGCACTGTAGTTGATAGTGCATACCTAAAGAGGCCCAAATATCAACCTGTGTGTCAGCATGTGTGTTGAGGAATGTGTCTTTCCATCAGAGCCATTGAGGATGCACCACAATGCAGCCAGTTACAACCATCGATTCCAGCTCAAGTTCCAGTTTAACTCCAATGTTTATGTCAAGAAACCGTCATGTCATGACCGTGTTATTTATGTATTTATTTATTTATTGAATGTTAGTTATTTATTTAATTTTTATTTATTTATCTTATTTCTGTACTAACGTGAACTCATTTGCCCACATTTCTGTAATCTTTCCCTTTCTCTTGTGTCTCACTGAACCCAAAAACAAAAACAAAAAACAAAAAACAAACACTGTAGCACTTCCTGAACTGATAGCTCTGATAATGAAATTTGTATAAATCAGCTTAATTTACTTTTACATTTTTATTTTTCTTCAGATGATAATTCTTCCAGTAGATGTAGCATGCATTTGGGGCAGCCTAGGCCTTCACTATTCCTTATTTATAGGGCCCTTAAAGTATATGTTTCAAAAGCTCATAATGTCATCTCCAGCCATGGTAAAATATTCCACATGACACATTAATTTATCAATTCCTTATCAAATTCATTTTACTTTATTTCTTCCATGTTAGGATGGTATTTGAAGAAAAGCGAATCCTTTCTTTCGTACCACAGTCACATTTGTGTTTTCAGTGCCTGCTTCCCTTGTGTTCTGCACGAGGAGGCGTAGTTAACATTGTGGTAAAGTCATATGAATGTGCCCTGTTGCTAAGCACTGATGATTCTGATTAGATTCTTTGCACAAACTTGTCGGGATTGGCCCTTCCTAAGAGTGGGATGGCTGATTTTGAACCTGTGCTTTGGTGTAGAAAAGTTTGGGGATTTTTTTGTTTTTGTTTTTAGTTAAACACCCAAAGCCTTAAAATACTATGTATTGTGACACTATGTTCTGTACAGGTGTACATAAATGTACAAGAATGTAAATGTTGTATACAGTGCTTTTGTGTATTATGTCGTTTTCTACAACATACTGTAGATGACCAATTTTATCACTATAATTTTTATTCATTCCTATTCTAGTATTTGTTACAGTATTGACTATTTATTTAAGTAACTTGGTGGAACTATTTATTTTGTGCTGCAGTGGAGCAAGTCTCCTGTCCTTTTGTACTTTTATACAGTTTTTATTCTTATTCGCTATTATTATACCATCACGTTTAAATTATTGTTGTAACATCAAAATGCCTCTTACACACACTAATTGGCCTCAATGTGAAATATGTGCCTTGGTGAAATAAAAACTTCAGAATGTGCACACTGGTTTTTGTGTGTCTTTAAATATGCGTGGCCTACTACCACACCTGTAATATGAACTGTGTGACAGATGGACGTTTTTTGAGGGGGTGCACACTCAGAAACTACATTACCCAACAGTCTGTGCAGAAGAGTCGAGGCAAAAACTGATAAATGTTGAGCTCGAATGTGAAAAAAGCTTTTAGATTAATTTGGAGCATCTTGGAGTATGGATCCTTTCCTAATAACTAGCTTACGCCAAATTTTGATTTTCTAAATGTTTTCTGGTAAGAACGTCAACCTGTCTGTTCAAGCCCCCAGCCAATGGGAGTAGCTCATCTATTGTACGTATCAGCCAATCGCTGCCGCTGTTCTTGAAAGGCGGCATTGGGTGGAGAACTGCTGTTAGTTTGTGCTGTGTTTATTGTTAAGGTTGTGTGGATTAGCACTGCAGCACCCAGTTTCTTTTCATATGATCAACAATATAGCTTTAAGATGAGTTAAGTTCCCGCGGTGAGTACGGCCTCAGCCCGCATTCATGCACATTCATGGCGAGCAGTTAAAAGAAGCTGTTCCGCACTGAGCCGGAGGCTTGGTTAGCTTTAAAAGCAGGCCACTAACTGTTTTTGTTAATTCGCCAAAGAATCTCTGTGTGTGTGTCTGCTTTAACTGCTGGATTGCAAGAGCTCGTCGGAAGGCATTGGGACAGTTATAGAGTAGCTCGGTGTGTAACTTTGCTGTAGCCGCTGGTTTGTGGTGCTAACAAGCACCGCACTGCGGGGAAGGACAGAAACCGTGCGCCAGTGTGGAGATACAGCGCACACGGACTGACGGCCGGAGGAAAGACAGCGGGGAGGGAGGACCAGCTTCAGAGATGGGAGGGAGGGAGGGAAATTTAAAGGGAGCTTTGGTACCAACTGTTATAATGTTGTAATACTGTATTTATTTCCATCTCCTTTTATCTCAGACTTGCCCTCATTTCACTGCTTGGGATGACAGCTGGTGCTACAGTGGCCAGCAGGGAAGGAATTTATGAAGGCACAGAAGAAAAGATGAAAGAAAAACCATGATGCCGCACACAAACTGATCCCACCCACCCCTCTGCCTCTAAGGAAAACCATCATCTGCCACCAGGTTGATCTGGTAATGGCCAACTCAGTGGCCCTAGTCGTCCAAGCAGAGCTTTTGCCAGCTCAGTCCACCGCGCCCCTCTCACCTTTCCCGTCTCTTCTTGGTTCGGGGGAGGATGGCGAGGATGAACGGGAGAGAGGGGAGCTGGTGGAGGGAGAAAAAGGGGGAGTAGAAGGTGGCGAGGAAGTGGTTCTGGACATGGTGTCATCGTCAGTGTCCGGGTCAGTCCCGCAGCCAGAGCAGACGGATCATCCCTTCCAGTGTCTGGACTGTGGCAAGAGCTTCAGGTGGTCATCCAGGCTGACCCACCACCTGCGGAGCCACAACAATGAAAGGCCCTACCGCTGCAACCTCTGTCCCAAGGCCTTCAAGGGCTCCTCTGCTCTGCTCTATCACCAACGGTACCCACACTAAAATTATATTAATATTGAGGATTCACATATTAGGAAGTTCATGACCAGTTCTGATGTCTAAAATAATGTTTTGCTGTAGCTTTCTTCCAGTTAAAGGGTTGTTTTTCCTTCTCACTGTCACCAAGTGCTATCTCATAGGCAGTCATCTGATTGTTGGGGTTTTCTCTATATTTTTGTAGAGCCTTTACCTTACAATATGAAGCACCTTAAAGCATCTGTTGTTGTAATTTGGTGCTACATAAATAAAATTGAATTGAACATTTTAGCTGTTAGCAGATACCAGTGATGTTTTCCAGTTTGTTTTCTTCTGTTAATAATTCCAGTCTTTGTACCAGGAGGAGTAAAAAAAAACAAACCCAAAACTGTGTTTCATAAAAAGATCAGCATCTCCTTGCTCTTTATGCTATGTTTGAACATTTAGTCACCCCAAAAAACCACAAAAGGCAAATGTAAATGCATATATGTTGGTATGAGTCAACAAGGCTAATATCAGCCGATATCCATATTTGGCCGTTATATCATTAAGTTTGATACTGTTACAGTCTTGTCTTTTAAGGCTAATACGGTTCTGCACTAACAAATTTAGTCATTTAACCTCCCTCACCTGCACATCTCAATGTGTCCTCATTAAATATGTTTGCCAAAGGTGGAGTCTGCTAAGCAAAAAAATAATAAATCACCCTTTTTCTTCAATCAGCAGTCATATTATCAATAAACACTAGTGACCCGGTGTTCTGACAAACCATCCTACTTTGGGAAAACGTCCTACCGTAAGTAGTTTATGCATATTTCTGCTGTCACAGAGTAATTCCAGCACAAATTTAAGTGGGTATGATGGTTTGCCACTTAACTTTGCCCATCAAAGTATGCTTGTAGGTAACATTCACAAAGATAGCATGGTTTGGCACTTCATTTTACCTGTTAAAGTATGCTTTTAGCTCATATTCACAAAGATAGGATGGTTCGCCACTTAATTTTAGCTGTTAAAGTATGCTTGTAGGTCACATTCACAAAGGTAGGACGGTTCGCCACTTAATTTCGTGTTGTGCGCATGCGCAAAAACAACGGGTAGGATGGTTTGTCAGGTAGGATGAATTCCCAGAACACCGGCTCATCCCATAACATTTCCTCCACCATGTTTTACGGATAATGTGGTAAACCTCAGATCACAGCCTTTTCTCTTCTTCTCAGTGTCACCTAGGGTTGTTTGTGTGTAGGCTCATTTAGATTTTTTTTTTTAATCTAATGTGACCTCCTGAGTGTAATGAAGGGTTTGCACCCTGTTGTGAACGCTCTGTTCATAAAGGCATCCCATGATTGTGGACTTTGACAATGACACACCTCCTTGGTTGGATGTTGTGAAGTTGTTTTTGTAACCATGGAAATACTGTCATCATGAACTTTAGCTGGCTTTGGATTTCTTTCAGGCTTTTTGGTGTTACTGAGTTGGCCAATGCATTCCTTCTTTTGAAGAATGAACAAAATTGTTGATTTGGCCACTCCCAAAGTTTATTTCATCCATCAGATTTAATTTATTCGTTTCAGTCTAATGATGGCCTCCTTCACTTCCATCGCCATCTCTTTGAACCTATTCTATTAGGACAGGGCCTCCCAATCCCAGTCCTCGAGAGCTACTATCCTGCAGCTTTTAGATGCATCCCTACTCCAACACAGCTGAATCAAATGGTTTGATTACCTTTTCAGCATGCCATCGTGTTTGGCAAAGGCCTGATAACAAGCCATTCATTTGATTCGGGTGTGTGGGAACAAGGATGCATCTAAAAGCTGCAGGACGGTAGCTCTCGAGGACCGGGATTGGGCACCCCTGTATTAGGATATCCAGTGAAAAGCTACGAAGTGCAAATTCAGCACTTGTGATCAACTCCAAATATTTTATCTGTTTAATTTATCACGAGTTAAAATCCACTGTGGAAGTGCACAGAGGCAAAAATACCAAATTATGTCACTGTCCAAAAACCCTAATGGACTAACTCTATAACAGGGGATTCAAGAATTGTCTGCTACGTCTTTGTTTCAATCCTGATGGTGTTTTCATGTTCGCCATCTCATATCTAACTCGATGATGTACATTTCAAATACAGAAGACGTTCTGCAGTCAATTGGCTTCTACAGCTAAAATGCAGATCCATTAATATTTTAATTCCTGCGATCAGGAATACAGGAATAGCATGTCATGTAAACAATATTTAATAAACCCAGTTTACTAGAACTGACCAGGAGATTAATCAGAAGCAGTGAGTGATTAGGGAATGAATGAGAAGAGGACTGAATATCAGCAGGAAGACATACAATCTAACCAGCACCTCTCAGCCTTCCTTTTTCACATCTTAAATCGGGCCACAGTCAGGTTGATGGAAAGTGTCAAAAAGGCAAATTTCAATATAAAATAAAGAGCTAATTTCTGACATAAAACAAGATGTTATACTATACGATGCATAGCAAAAGAAATTACTTAGATATGGGTTTGATTGTATTTTGCACAAATAATGATGTCATATGATTAACCATGTTTTCCTCCTGAATAGTTACCTTTATTTTGCAGGTCACACTCAGGGGAGAAGCCTTATAAATGTCAGGACTGCGGCAAAGCCTTCAAACGCTCTTCTCTTCTCCAGGTGAGACGCCAAAAAAGTTTTTTTTTGTTTGTTTGTTTTTTTTAATGTTTACAAATTAGATATTCCACCATATCGGTTTCTCCCCAGGTCCACCAGAGTGTCCACACTGGAGTGCGTACCTTCTTGTGTCCCTACTGCCCCCTTACTTTTAAATGGAGTTCTCACTACCAGTATCACCTGCGCCAACACACAGGAGAATGCCCATACCCGTGTGACACTTGTCCGAAGGCCTTCAAGAACTCGAGCAGTCTGCGGAGACACAAGAATGTCCATCTCGGTCTCAAACCTTACACCTGCACAGTGTGTAACAAATCCTTCACGCAGTCCACCAACCTGAGGCAGCACATGAGGATACATACAGGCGAGAGGCCCTACATCTGCGGTGAGTGTGGACGAAGCTTTACTCATTCGTCAAACCTGGCCCTGCACAAGAACTCGCACTCCAACCTAAACGCAGGTGGGAAAGAGGGAAAGAGGGGCGAGGATGCAAGGAAGAGAAATGAGGTAGTGGAGGTGGTGGTGGGGGGAGAGGAAGTGACATCATCAATGTTGACAGACATGGTTGGATTTGTGAGCCAGGAAGGAACTGATGGAGTTGGGGTGGGGATGGAAGAAGTGTTCCTGTCAACCACCTCCTCTGGCCAGAATCCAGGCCTTCTCCCCCAGCTCACCCTCACTTCTTCTGGGGAGAACGTGTGCACATCTAGAGCCATTGGGACAGAGGTTCACCTGAGTACAGACACCGGAGCCAGTGTGCTCTTGTACAGCTGTGGCAGCTGCAGCCACACTTTTGGCACACGGACAGACCTAGAGGAGCACCAGGCTATTCACATGGCTCCAGAGGAAGATGGGGTTGGTGGAGGGGCAGGGGTCGGCTCTGGGATGGAAGTTGGGGATGGGCTGGTGGGAGCTGGACACCTGCTTGCTGACTTTGAGGAGGTGGTGGAAACTACCACAGTGGCTGAAAGTGGACACACGACAGAGGTGCTCCTTGGATTGTCAGAGGGAGCAGATGGCAGCAATGCAGTAAGTGATGGGTTCAAACGGATAAATGCACATTCCATAAAAATATTTATCTCAAAAACCGCCAACA